ATCAGATGACTGTTCAAAGAAGCTACCGATTTGGGGAGACGTACTATGGGGTCCGGGACTTTCGTACGCCAAGATAGCGATTCTTGATGCGAAAACTGCCAAACCAGGTGAAGTCCAGTACATTATGCTGGATAGACAAAAGTCTTGTCTTGATCCGGTGAGGGCACTACGGATGTTGTTCGAATTCCGTCAAAGAAAGGCAGTCGACCCGGTTTTTGGCTTCGCAAGTGAAGTCGATGGGAGAATCATCGTATTCAAGAAGCTAGACGTGATCATTAGGCTGAGGGAGTTGTGGAACAAGTATCGACCGGAGAATGAAAAATTGCTATATGGACACTCCTTTCGTATTGGAGGAGCCTCTCTGCGGTGGAACCTAGGCGCTTCAAGAGAAGAAATCAAGAAAAATGGTAGATGGGCGTCAGACGCATATAAGATCGATTTGAGAAAGTTCAGCGATAAAGAGTTGAAGGAGACGGTGGAATGGCTCAAGGTGAATAGCTTAGAAGACTAGCATCTGAGTAAGACGCGGTTCTGATAGAAGTAGTCCGCCACTATAACCATCAGCTGGCTCGTTGTTTGTAGAGATTGTAGGTGAAAGGGTTAGGAAGGGGTGCGTCTGATCGACGCGGGCAATAGAAACTTTGTTCCATTTCGGCTTGTCTGTAGCATGTTGAGTCTACAAGCCACATGCAGTAGATCTCAGAGATAGTCTGTATAAGACTGTATTGTGAGATCTATTGAAAGTTCCAATTGACACGCATGAGAGATTAGAGTTTGAGCTAAGGTACTGAACCTTTCTTATGTTTGTTCCTGAGCAACTATGAAATTTGTTTAAGCGTCGGGTAAGAGACTCAGGAGTCATGAGGTTGGGGGGTTCGTTTGAGCTCGACTTCTCAAGGCTCACGACTCAAAGACTCATGAGTTTAGGGGGTTGAGAAGTCTTGTCTTCTCTGGCCTGTTCTCGCCACGTAGGAAGAGTGCTAGGTTGGGGTTTGGTACCCTTACTAGATCTCACTCCCCTACGGGGCTACCCCCACACCACGCTGACAGGGTATTGGTCTCAGGGAAAGAGGCAATACAACTCTGCGGTAGAACTTGCCAGGAAAGATATACTCCTCAGCTAGAGGGGAGTTTATCTAGATTCAACTTTAGAGTTGAAGATAAACACACTCTGTCCTGATCTTGCGCTCCACGATTAAGAATGGATCTCTTTAATCGCATCTTGATTGTCATTGCCTTTGGTCTTGCAACATTTGTTCAATTTGGCAAAAGAAAGCATTGCTTCTGCAGATATAATCTAGGTTTTGGCTGTCAGGGCGCTTGTAAGTAACTTTTTTGATAAGGGGATCTTGAAACCACTCAACAGTGCAAGGCATTTTTGTGGCATTTGTGCTAACAGCTTATGGGGTGAACTTCTCGGATTTCCAGGACAAAGATATCACATATATTTTTACAGCACTTGGGTGTGCAACTCAAGTGATGATTTTCGGCCACTGTTGAGAAAATTCCTCAAGCTTATAATGGTGAAGAAGCTTATTGATGCTAGCTAAAATCATGCCACAAAATATCCTCAAGGCTGGAATTGTATGGGAGATCTGCATGGTCCAATAGACACCGGTGCCAATAGATTGTCTAACATGTGATGCCTTTGATGTACTGAAGCCGCCGTACAGTGAGTAAAAAACCTTCTTTTTGAGAGTGTATATCCCTCTTGGAATCTAAAAACTAGATCATCTGCTGATTTTTATTATCAAGCATTTTATATAGCTATATACCCACCGGTCCAGTGTCAAAGTATAATCAACAAAGTTGGTAAGTCAACTTTGAACTTCAAAAATCCTGTTCACTTCGAGGTGTCCCAATATGAGATTACTCTCATATTGTCTCTTACCTTGTAAGGATAAAGGAGGAAAATTAAATGGAACTAATCCCTGAAAGACTTAGGAGGTCTTGTCAGACTAGCATTGTGTCCAAACAAGAAAGCAAGAAAACACAATCTGTATGCCTAATCGCACATGTAACCAGATAGCATGATTTCAGGAGTTTACTAACCTTCATAAAACTCGAGGGGTAGAGCTCATGTGGTGGGCGCGGATTTTGAATTTGGGGCAGGCCTGGGCATGATTTTTTGGCTTTTTAAAGGCATGCCCTAGGTGTGGGCCCTGAGACATGCCTCTGAGGTCCTCAAAAGCAAAAAAAACTTCCAAACAGTTAAAAAAACTTGCAAAGACACCAAAAGTAGCAAAGATTGTATTTCACAATGCTGCAAGAAGTAATCGGAGGGGGGTTTACATCAAAATTTATCAAGATAGCTCTTTAAAAAGCTCATCCTCATCCCAATACTCATTCCCAGACTCTTCATTTACAACAATAGCATTGGGTGTTTGGGCTTCAACTCAAGTATTGAATAGTATTACACCAAAAAGTGTTATACCCATTTTCTGTCTTGTTCTCTTGTTTTTCTGCGTGCACCACTTCTTTTTCACAATAAATGCCATCTTCAAACTCTTGAACATGGTCAAAATCTTCAACTTGAATATCTATGTCTTGTGTATCATTGGCAGCAGCAGGTTGATTAGGATTTGTGGTTGCTATTGAGATGCAATTTGATTGCTTGTATTCAAGGTCCATTTCAATCTGCAACATCATCTCCAAAGTTGAGACATTCATTTCAGGATGCTGCTTGGTCTTCTGGGAACCCATATGCAAAAATAGACTCTCAACACCAGTCGCATGAGGTACAATCTCTAGAAGCTTGATGGCAAATGAATTGAGCTCTTGAGTCTATGGAAATTTGGAAACTGATGGTGAAATTTTCCCGATGTCACCCATTTTATGCAACAGCTGGGAGGAATAGACTTAAACCTAACTTGGGCATGCCTACCCCAAATTTGGGCTTAAAAGGCCTGCCTTTGGCACCGCGCCCACCACGTGAGGTAGAGTGCAAAAGACATGTACAGCCCTTTGCATGATTGATGACTTTGGAGAAAAAAAAACCTTGAGTTTTCAACAAAAAAAACCTCGAGTTTTTTCAAAAAGTGACCGAGTTTTTTGGAAAACCTATCGAGTTTTTCAAAAACTCATCGACTTTTGAAAATTTCAAGAAAAACACATTGACTTTCTCAAAAACTCGGTCACTTTTCGAAAAAACTCAAGGTTTTTTTTGTTGAAAACTCGAGGTCTTTTTTTCTTCAAGGTCATCAATCATGCAAAGGGCTGTAGTTGTAGCGCACTGATTTTGTTTCGTATCATATTTGAACATCTTTGTTGGACCTTCAGTAAATGAATTACTTACTGAGGTTTAACAATTATTCTGATTTAGTATGATGTTCCTATCAACTGATCTGATTTGATCCATTCTCAATATATTATGATGATATATTAGCTGTGATGTTAGCATTGCTTATGTTCTTTAATGCGCGATCAATAAGAATGATTCGAAAGGTCAACAGGAATGATTGTGATTTGATTTGATTACTGAATTTCATATGATCAGATTCTTTCAACAATCAAGATGAAAGTCAGACTGCTCAAATCGATTAGTAAGACTCATTGAATTTTGTGAAGATTGGACGGGTTGATCATGGATGGAAGAGTAAGGAATTAGGATGACGAAGTGATGAGTAGTCAAACTGTGAAATGAAGTTGAAGTTGCTATCTCAGCTGATCAGATGATTATCTTACAATTCCTGATAACTCGATCAAGATTTCAATCCGAATCCTGTGTTAAAGGCTGCTGTGTAAGGTACACGACTAGAAGATAAAGAAATGTAAATCACAATTCAGGTCAAGCTCATCATTCAAAGTGATCAATGAAGAACAGATGGGATCTCGCAAGTTGACTAAGATTGTGATTACCCTTAAACTTTTGAATCATCCCATGAGGTTAGACAAACTTCTTAATAAGTTAATTTCTAAACTGAATTCTTGTTGTTAATCCCGAGTACTTTTGGGTCAATTTGAATGGTCAAAAAGACTCAAAAAGACTCAAAAAGTCATTAAGTTTGTACACATGCTTCCTTAGGATTGATTTCGTGATTTCTTCAATCACTTTTCTATTCACATACATCTTCATCATCATCCTCATCATTATCATCCACTAAAAGATTGTCAATAAGTAAGAGACTTCTATTGCTTCAAAAAGTTGAAAGGTTCAATTGAGTAAAGTAATTTTGGTCAAAAACAAAAAAAAAGTAAAATATCTTAACATGTCATCGAAACCAAATGATGAACTTCAATCAATCAATCAGACTTCTAACTCACAACATAAACCTCATATCGTTCCATTCGGTCATCCATACTCATGTACTCCAATCTTATTAAATTTATTCGATCAAGATCCATGTCCGAATTATCATCAAGTGACTCAAATCATGACACTCACTTCACTTCAAAGAAAACAAATCACTAGTTGGTTTTGGAGAAAACGAAAAGAATCTTTACAATCCACTTCATCACCTTCTCAATCTCAACTTACATCAGAACATCATGAATCAATTCAATCATCTCCACCACCAAAACCTAAACAAACTAAATCACGTTTGATTCGTTGTAAACTGAAAAGTCATTCAAATTCAAAATTAAAATCTAAATCAAATTCAAATCATCGATCAAGATCAATAGGAAAACTCAAGTCTAAAGCCGATTTTGATTATAAAAGAAATGAAGAGGAAGAGGAGGAGGAGGAGGCAGAGGACGAGGAAGAGGCAGAGGACGAGGAATCTAAAGAACTTCAGCACCATCCCACGACCTCTACAGGTTCAGAACAATCCATTCAAGTGAAATCTCATTCAACAACCTCTAGAGATATCAATCCATCCATTCGAGTGAAATCGCACTCAACAACCTCGAGAGATTTGAATCAACCTATTCGAGTCAAATCACATTCAATAGCCTCTAGAGATCTAAATCAATCTATCCGAATGAAATCTGATATGAACCAAAGAAAGAATTCAGTGGAACGGATGAAGACCATCTTAAGACCAAATAGAATGATGTCGTCTAATCATAGGACAAATTTAGAACTGAGTGAAATGAGTCCATTTGATTCAAACAACGAAGATGATTTGATGAGAATTGAAGATTTCCAAAGCATGGAAGATCATGAGGACTTCAACCCTAGTGATGGTAAGTGATAGGTTTAATTGATTTTGAATCTTGAAACAGTTTGATAAGTTAACATCATTGATAATTCTTTTTGAAGTTGATAACGTTCAGGATCATCATTCGAAATCAGAAAATGAAGCAGAAGAAGAACAGGAAGAATTAACCCAAGATTATTCAAATGAGTTGAACTCTTCATCTATCTTTAATTTCAATAATTTAAATTCATCCTCAGGATCATTTTCATCATCTATAAATCACGAGATGATCAATATCGGATTGATTGAAGAAGTAGTAGAAGAAGATCCTGTATTGTTTTCAACTCCTTATCAACCTTTTTGGAGAAGATGGGAGAGTATGTTTAGAACTTTATCTTCTGGGTCTCGTTAGTTTCACTTCTTATTCAATTCGTCATGCATATCAATATATATATATATATATATCATCTTCTTTTTAGATCTTTCATGCTCTTGCTCATCATCATATTATCATCATCATTATTAACACTATTATCATTATTAACATCATTATCATTAGTATTGGTTTAATTGTTATCTTATTCAAAATGTATCATATCTTCAAACGTTTTCATTTCCATGATCTTCTATGTATCTCATCATAATTTCGATTTTTACATTTTTACATATCCTATTATAACTTATACTTCAAACCCTTTAATCTTGCATTTTGAAAATCCAACCTTTATATCTAAAATTGATTCTCTCCCTAACTTGACGCAAATCCCAATTCTCGTAGGGCTCTTTTAACCTTCTGAGCTCGCGAGGAAAAAGGTTCTGACTGGGACTTTGTTAAGTTAGATTCCATTCTATTACATGATGTCATTCACTTGACCATTAACCTCCTCCCCACAAAAAACATTTAAGAATCACCTGTCTTTCTGCCCAAATTCAATCAATGTCAAAAGCCTAAAGATGACGAGAGTGTAGATGCAAGCAAAGATGATCACTTTAAAAAGTTTGACAAGCTTCAAGTACGATGATGTGATGATGTAAGAGTAGTGGAGAATGAAAGTGATCAAGATATTTGAGGAAGCTTGATGGTGCACAGTCACTTGTATACCTTCCAGAGCTGTTAACTATGCTCTTGATGTTGTTCTCAGGAGAGATATCGGCACTGTAAACATTGTCATTTCCAAAGCAGTCTTTGGACATGGACAACAGGGACTTGCCGAGTTGTAGTCAGAGTGACAGGTCATTGAGGGCTTAGAACAACGTATTGACAGTATAGAACTTTGTGAAGTTGATTGGATGCCAGAAGCGCTTTTAAAGACTCTTGCACTGTCTACTGAAGGATTTCCTCCTCGAGCATTTTGAGTGCCATAAACACCTATGTACTCATACTTAAGATGAGATCAAGATGTGGGCTCAGAGCTCCATTCTAACTTAACAAAGTCCCTCTTGGACAAACAAGTAGTCAACGAGACTGCTTGTCTGACTCTAGATCAGGGACTAGTGCAGAGTTGTTTGTCTGAGAGGTACTTTGTTGAGTTAGAGCACCATGGTAAATATTTCAGGATCAAACATCAAATAAGTAGGTAAAAAAGATTGTGCAAAGTAACAGATTTTGAAGTTTTCACAAAAGCTGTGTAAGACTAAGAGAGATTGAGCCACCCTGAGTGCTTCAGAACAAGAGGACTTTGAATGATAGGGTTTGAAATATGGCATGGTAAATATTCTCAAGTTATCTGTTGACATGAACCCACCTTTGTTGAAGTTGAACCATAATCTTGTCACTCACAGTTGGCCAAAGAAAAGCTTTCAAAATAGCTTCACAGTTGATCATCCTCATCCTCATAGGGGAAGGTCTTGAAGTATCAGGCATGTTTGTATATCAACTGGGTAAGGTCAGTGTAGTAGCATGGTACAAAAAAATATTTCAGATACAAAGTAACACGCAAAAAGATGCTGTAAAGTTTACCATTGGTTGTTACTTAAGCCAAAATCTTTGTCAGTAAACAAAAGCTAACCTCGATTTTATCAAATGATGGTTTCGAGTCATTCAAGGTGAAGAGATGATCGTTACCTGATGTTTCGATCCAACGGTCATTATTTGATCTTTTGAGTACCGTACCAGTTACTCGGTGTACAGGTTTCCCAATTCGGAATCGATCGATTCCTCAATCCAAGACTCAAGTTGATGCAAAGTTTCAAAATTTGTATGCGATCCTTTTGAACTTTCACCGTTCCAGCTTCCCGATCTTACTTCCTATGGTCTTATATCCACTGCAGTTGCAATACGGGTTGTGCTACAAAAGCTTCTAAAAAGTGAAGGGCGTATCAGCAAATTACTGCGTCATTCACCTTCCGTTTGCTATCGGTCTGGGATCTGATTATCGATTCAAGTCAGAAGGGAACCCTACCAATCTCTTTATTCTATGATCCCCTGCTTTGAAGAAGTGATGAATACAAACCGATCAAGCATCAGCTAAAGTTAATGATAATGAAGCAATCAAAAACATCATCATCAAACAAGATTTCGTCACTCTTGTCATTACCCTCGCCGCATTCGAGGTCACAATTTGTTTCCCCCCTTGTCTTCTGTCTTTTTTTTGACTTTCCAGTCTTATCGAGACTTCCTATTCTGCGCGCTACAAAACTTCCCGTTTGATACTTATTGCCGACATGTTCGAAGTTGATGTGCTGTACAAATCATCAGACTAATGACTAAAAAGATGGAGTATGAGTTCGATATTGAACTTTTTAGCACTCCATGAACCAAAACCTCTAACAATCAATCGCTTTCCGATTCATCCCTTTTCAGATACCTGATTGTTACTGACGAGATTTCCCTTGAGTTTTATTTTGAGGGATCCAATCTCATTTATTCCTTACCTTGAAGTGATCTCTTTCATCCTCCAATCAACTTCACTGAACAATCACACTCATTACTTTTTATCCATCATTATCTTTCATTCATTATGATACAATCTTTGATCCCATCTCTCTTAGTAGCTTTATCTACTACTCAACTCATTCATACCCTCCAACTTCCAGTCATTCGTGAATTTAATCCTGCTCAAATCAATCACCATATCCGCAGGAATTTACCTCCTACTCCTCAGCCTATCACTCCAACGAATTCTTCGAGTTTACCTTCTTCAACTTCTGTTGGTGGGACTATCTTGAATCCGGCTCCGAGTTCGAATTCATCTCAAACCAACTTGGTCAGTTAGCTTTCTATCTTGACATCAAAGCAATATTTGGTCTTTCTTCATTTCCTTTTCCTGTTGGGTGAAAGCTTGGACAACAAAGAAAGATCATTTAACATCAGGCGGGATATTAGGAGATGACTCGCTCCATTCTACTCATCATTCAGAACGACAGGATGAGCCTTCTGGCAACTTCCATACCTAAAGCGACTCATGTCACCTTTGATGATGTATATCTTTATTGGAGAGTGATTGATCGGAATTTGACTAGTATATCATATCATAAAGGTCCCTTGCTAAACTAGCTCCCATCGGATTTATAATAATCCATCAGGCTCTCAATTCAATCCGTCTTGCTACAAACAACTCTTCTTTGAAGACTGATACTGATTAGGTTTTCTTTTTGACCTCTAATATTGTATCGCAAAAAATAGGTACCAAAAACCAATGAAGTTTTGAAAACTTATCCAAACCCATGTGATGGATTACCACTTACTCCTCAAACTTGGACAAAATTAGACTTAGATCAATATTTGCTTTCATATCCAAATGGACAAAACCTTTCAGTTCAAGTTAGTGATTTTTCATTTCAATCCAAATCCCAGAACAAAAAAATGAGATTGATCCTTGATGAATGTTTTCTTAGGATTATGCTTTCTCTCATCATGCTCAAAACTTTATTTGTGGAATCGGTGAAGGTTGCCATGCAGGACAAGTAAGTTATATTTCCTGAATAATTTACCTTGAATGAATGATCACTTTGTTAACTTTGATTCAAAATGATGAAAAAAAGCTTTGTAACCCAGTCACGGCACCGGATTGGTATGTCTTATACGCAGCACAAGAATGGAATTCATTACAAAATTCGATTTACACTGCTATTGGATTCGCTGTTTCAATGGTACAAGGTAAGATCCACAAATTTGATTTATGTTATTCTTGTCTGAAATTAGGTTAGATGTTTTAGGATGATCTAACCAATTTTGTCTTGCTTTCCCTTCTTTTGCAATAACAGCCACAGCTGCCGCTTTAGTTACAGACCTGTGAGTATACATCGTCTTATGTCTTACTTTGACCTGAAGACTGATAGAAATCTTTTGCTTTCATTTAGCTTTGAACCTCAGCATCATTCGCTCTTGTTTCACTTACAAGACTTATTTGTCTTGATGAGTGGAATCGCTTTTACAGTAGCTCTTGGAGCATTACTTTTGACTGAAGGTACAGCTGTGATCATTGCTGCAACCGTAGTTGGAGCTTTGATGGCTGGTACTTCTAGTGCTTTAATGGGTGTTAATTTATTGAACAGTTGGGATACCGTTCCTGATGGATTCACCAGAGTAAGTTTTTTTTGTGATAATTTATTTCGGATCAAGATTAGAACTGAATTGATGATGAATTTGATTTCAAAAGTGGTCAAATTACGCTTATTACCTTTCTCAATGGCAATCCAAAGTTCAAGATCAACTTTCGAATGCAACTACTAGTATCATCCAAGCTGGTATCTCTTCCGAATCAGGTTTATTTGGTGCTTTGAAAGGTGGTGCATTTTTGAGTGGAATTCAAGTTCGATCGACTTCTGAAGTTGAAGAGGAGATTAAACAGACTAGTACTGCTAGAATTCTTGTTGATATTCTTCGAGCACAGGTAAGTTTTATGTTTTGATTTTTGAGGATCCAAGGGATCGGTTTTAGTCGGATGAAAGTGATAGGTCAAAGTACTGATTCATGTTACTCCTTGTCGCTTGTCTGATCATTTAGGGAGCCTATGTTACCTACGGCAAAGTGCGTTCTTTTTAAAGGTTTCCCAATTACTACAAGAGGGAGAAACCACCAGATCTGTAGCTCATCTTCTTCATTTTCGTCACTTCCTGACTTCTAGGATAAGTGCGATGGAAAAGGACCAGGTGGAGCTTGGGGAGGTGATGATCATCTCTCATTTTGCAAAGACGGAACGTAAGTCCAACCTTTGAAAACGTCCAAAGATATCATTCCAATCAAAGCTTACTTAATATATGATTGTGTGTTCCTTTGAAATACAAAGCATGATGAATATCGTCAAAGCTAAGAAGAACAAAACTGGAAACAAATGGTTCAATGCTGATTTGATTTCCAAGAAGTATGGATTCTCAACTGAGTATCTTGTCACTCAATCTTGGGAATGCCAAAAGAAATACAAAGGATTCAGCTATGATCCTTACCGTAACGGGTGAGTTTTAATCATTATATCTGTTTTTTATGCTTTCTGATGGACTGTTTTTTTTTTGAATTGGACTCTCTTAGATCTCTTCCATTAGATATCAATGCTGAATGTATTGTTAACTTGCCGGTTTGCGATTGCACTGATCCAAGTAAGTTTTCTTCGTTTTAATACTGTTAGACCGTATAGCGTACTCGAATCAAATTAATCAATGGGTGTTTGGGGATGCTTTGTTATTGTATAGTCATCAAACATGCCCTTTCCAAAGGTGCAACTACTACCAGTGCATGTCGTGAAGCTGGAAAATTACCAATTTGATTTGTTTCTCGATTGGTTTTTGTTTGAATTTGACTTGTTTTGTTGAAAGATTATCAGTTCTTTTCATTTCCTTTAGAATATATAATCTTTCTGGTCTCATACTACTATCATTCTTTGGAAAAAAAGTTTCTTAAAAAAAGGTTTCAAAGTTTATGTTGATTTCTTTCCATTTACTCTTATATGTGTGTGTTTGATACCCTGTTTTGATTTCATTTCATTTTATTACATTCATTTCAATTTGTCATTTTTACCAATGAATATCCAATCCATTATGTTTCTTAAATGAATAAAAGACTTGAATCAAAATTGAGGTTCAAAGCAGTTTGAAAAGTCAACTAAAAGCAAAGCAAACTAAAAAAAGTGACAAAACTTTTGGAGGCTTACAATGGGTGTTGAATAATGAAACAAAGGAACCCCCACCATACAGCCAAATCATGCAGACCTTTTCAGTTGTTACTATAATCTTTTTAGGAGATGCTTCAGTTCATTTCAAATTATATCTCATTCAAAATCAGTCTATAAAATTATTCTTCACATATGTGCCATGAGCTTGATAGGAGTGTGTAGTTGTGCAATGCATTTCTGATTTAAATAATCTCCAAAAGAATCTTGAACTGTAAATCAAACAACTTCCCCTGTATTAAGTGGGGGGAAATGATTGCAAGCAGAATTGGTCATAAAGGATTGATCACTGCACACCTGCGCCATCAAACCCACATTACATATGTGTGAAAAGCTGAGTGAATTGTTAGCTATTGTGTACATACAGGTCTGCTCAGTTTCCTGCTCATCTGAATAAGTAGAGCACATGTGATACATCATGTAACTTTTTCCAGCTTGACAAAATCCTCCCAAAAATTGACCTGAATAGCAGCCACTCAGGCAATACTTTGGAAGCCATTTGAGAGTGACAGATAAGGTGTTACATGAAGTTTATTTAATGGAAGTACACCAAAACTATGAGTCAGTGTATGTATGTATCCAATTTTTGGAATGTGTTTGTCAAACTGCAAAAAATTACAGAAGGTATCACACATGATATACTCATTCAAATGAGCCAATAGCTGAGCAGCTCTTTATGTACATGATAGCTCCTAATTTACCCATCCTGCTGCACATATGTAGTGTGGGTTCTATGGCTCAGGTGGTGATCAATTCCTTGTGACCAATCATACTGCCAATAATTTCCCCCTGCCCAGTTGGAGGGAAGTTGTTTGCAGTGCTTGGCAATGAAAAAGGTCTTGTCAAATTGCTGGCAGATTCCAGGTGCCTTTTGAATTAATCTTCTGTTTTAGAGCTCAATGTGCATAGGTTATGGAAGGGTACAAGGTAATACTATTACAACTACCACATCTTCAATGTCAACTGCTTGGAAAATGGCACACTGAGTCTTGACTTGCTGAGTTTCTACTGGCCGTCAAGTGTTGCACCCACAGCCTCGCATCCTCTCTTCTTCCATCAGCCTTGGACATACCCTTCAAAAGAAAACTTGGATCAAAAGCATTGCAGTATGTATGGTGTGACACAGCAAGGAGGATTTGGTCACTTGTGGATGAGTGTGCACCAAGTTATTTACTCAGAGTCACAGAGTGCACACACATACACAATGACTGTGGCCTGGCTGCGGCCATGTATGCACTCTGTGACTCTGAGTCACACATGCTGCACTCTGGCTCGAGTGACAGAATAGGACCCTGGAATATGTCTACAGAGGTCACTGAGAAAAAAGGTTGGAGTTTTCCAATATCTTCCAAGGAGTTTACTGTCCAAAAAGTTCAGATTTTGGGCTCTGAGAGGACCTTTGTAGGATTATTGGTGACAAAGATTGAGTTTTCTCCAGGCTTGAACTAAGCTAGTCAGCAATAAGTGTAGCCTCATCTCTTGGGTGACAATGAAAAGTAAAAAGAGAACTGTAAAAACGCCTTGTGCCGGTATAAATGACACGACTGGGAGTGGCCATGCAAGCCTCTCCCTTGTTTTACATTGGTGACCTTGAAACTTTGTACACTGTACCTGCTCTCTTGTGGTGTTTACTGATTTCTCACATTGCCTTGAGTGATATCAGAGCATTTGAGATCCAGATAAGAGCTCAAGTCAAAGTATCAGAAGATGGATACATAGTATATGTATAATCAAATAATAGCCTTCTTATCAGTCAATAATTTTGTTTACATGCTTTGATCTCCTATTTCCGTCAATCCTCCTTGATGAGTATGTCAATCAGACTTGAAATATTAGTGCTATAATACCATTCTGACCTATACATGCCGTTTACCCAGCAATGCTCAATCCCGCCAAACAAACATGTCACTGACAAAAAAGGTCGGAATGCGGGATTTTTGAGAAGTTTTCCATGAAAAGGTCAGAATCTACGGCAGTGACCTCCGTAGGCGTATTACAGGGCGCTGACAGAACATTCCTACTTGTAATTTGTGGCTCCTTGTGATAGAGTTTGATCAAGAAATTTTCGATTCCAGGATTTATTTGCTCCACTCTTTCTCTTGCAAATCGTGATTCAGGCCGTACTACTGGCATGGCCCAGGCTTGGTATCCACACGGACTGATCGTGGTGTGAACATGAACAATGCTCTTACATAAAGCACCCAATTGTTTCACTGTACTTGATCATGGTTTTCCGTTGTTTGAAATGTCTTTTTATGCTGGGTTCCTCGACAAACACTGGGATGAAGCGTGGGTGAGTGTGCACCGTGCATACGCATCCGCAGTGACCGCGGCGTGACTGCGGCGGCGTGTGCACTTGGTCACTTGGAGTATGTATGTAACACATGCCGCACTTCGGCTCGAGTGATCCGAGCAGCCAGTGAAAGAAACATAGCCACTTTGATCTATTTTGATTCCCTTTTCACCGTGAGGTATCACATACCTACGTACAAGGGGCCCGACTAAGCTTTACTAAATGGTACTGTGATGGGGCAGGTGGAGTTACAATGTACATGTATATATGTTGAACTTGAGCGTTAAAACCTGTTAAAACCTTCCGCTTCCCATATTTTTAGGAACTTTATTTTTATTGTCTCTCATCTTTCCTTATCCTTTAAACAAACTATCATACATACATACTTTTATCGAGCTATCAACCGGTCGCTTTAACATCATTAGCCCAAACAAACTTCCACTTATAAATCCTTAGGTGAGCTACAGCCGCGGATCATCGTCCTGATCATTAGTTACAATTTCTTGATTCTATTTCAGTCCATGACCATCAAACTTCTATGGCTTTATTGCCCACAAGTACACAGCTGTAGCTACTGACAATTACTCTTCTGTTTACCACTTCAATCTCTGCATAGGCGTGAATCTCAGTCCACAGCAAAATGGCAAGTTCACAAGAGATCGAATGGGATGGTTCCGAAATCAAGTATCCAGAGTTGAAACCAATTACCTTGAATCCCAGCAAGGTGCGGAATTCGATTATGATGTTATGATGAACTCGATCTGATTCGACGATTTGATCGATATAGAATATCTTGTTGATTGGTCAGTAATTTAAGAATCTTTTCAAAGTTGATCGCTTTCAATGTCAACGTTGAAGAGTTTGCTTTGATGGGCCTAGATGTTAGAGAACCGGACGAAGTGGCCCAAGGTTCTATACCAACTTCGGTCAATTTACCTCTTTCGAAATTAGAAAACAGTTTTGGAATCACACCAGATGAATTTCTCAAGTTACATGGGTTTCCAAAGCCTAATGAAGATCAAAAAATGATATTTTATTGTAAGATGGGAAAGAGAAGTGGTCAGGCAGCTGATTTAGCTAAGACGAAAGGTTATAAAAAGTGGGTTTTGACTTTTCTTTTCGAATTTGTTGCTTGAACGATATAATATGATTTTGACTGAATTTATTTGATGTTTATAACACAGGATCAAAGTTTACAAAGGATCCTGGGTAAGAAGTCTTTTTTGAAAATTTATACATTCCTATGTCACTATTTTTACTAAACTCAACAAATTGATTTAGATGGATTGGGTCAGGAATGAAGGTTCTGCGTAAGTGAATTCAAGATGAATCTTCACATTAAAATTTACCTTTCGATCTCATATCCTCGACGTCCTTGTAACTTGTTATGGATCTTCTTATCATTGAAAGACCAAAATCCGGCTTGGTCAGCTGGGTTTTACGAAATTTTTCAATTTGACGTTTGAAGGCCTTTGAGATGCAGATTGAAGGAGCGTGATGTTAGTTTCCTTGTGTTTGAGATGTCGAAATGGATTTGTTTCTCCTGTTCTGAATTTGGCCAGGTAGGTGCTGGATGGATTGAATCTCCTTCAGTTCATCGGTCGTTGTACATAATCTTTCTGGAGGATTCAAATCATCAGATATCCTTGTTTGTTGGAACTTCGGACATTGTAAGATGGTATACCCTTATTTCAAAAGTATCACAAGTTTGCACCTGTTTAGAGCTCTGAGTCTGATGGTAGATAAGCGTATTAAAGCCACTCAGAGCATCACCAGCCCGGCGGGCGAATCACCAACGCGTTCGCAGATGACAGAAAACCTTGGCTCTTTGTGACGATCTGATTTGTCGTGACTTCTTTCCCCCTTCAACTTTGAGCTCTGATGACGAGCCTTACAATGATGATGGTTCAATGGTCCCTTTGAAAAACAGACTCTGGGGAAGCCTGGTAGTCCTAATCACGATGCGTAGGATCAAGATCATGTTAACGCAGCAGAGGGAGAATGAGGTGTGGTGCTGTGTGGTGATTTGTGATGTATGAAGGGGAGAATACAAGTTTCAACGTTCTTGGCAGCGGATCAAACCGGGATCGGATATGATCTGACATTTTTAGTGCAGTTTGAGTGACCCGTGAATTCCCATAAGTCTTGAAAGTATTTAAATACGTCATTCTCTACCAGCATACACTGACTTTACCTCGCTGTTTACCATCTCCTATCTTCAGATTCCAACACAATACCACCAAAATATCAAGAATACCCAATCTAAACTTTTAATCAAGATGACTTCTCGAAAATTCTTTGTTGGTGGTACGTGATCTTCGTTTGATTTCGAGGCCGGTAAGCCTAGATGTGGTATACTTTATAACTCATCGTTCTTGTTGGAAATGTGGGTTTGGTAGGCAACTTCAAGATGAACGGCACTCAGGACTCCCTCAAAGATATCGTAAAGGTCTTGAATGACGCTCAGCTCGACCCTAATGCCGAAGTGGTGATCGCTCCACCAGCACTCTACCGTTAGTTTCAAAGAACCTTATCGTACTATGGTCTTCTAAGGCTCAATTCTGATGACCATGCGACCTTATATAATTTCAGTTCTCCCTGTCAGAGATTTCACCAAAAAAGAAATCCTTGTTGGTGCACAGAATGGTTACTATGAGAAATCAGGAGCATTCACCGGAGAGATCTCGTAAGTGTTTTTACAGCAATTCAAATCCATCAAGGATTTCGGGGTGGGGTATGTGGTCTCTTTGGTTGCGAACGTACCGTTGATTTCGATTATGAGACAGGTTCGATCAACTCGTGGATGCAAAGATCCCATATGTGATCTTAGGTCACTCAGAGCGTCGAAGCTTGTTCCATGAAGATTCCCAATTTGTCGGAGTCAAGACCGGTGCTGCTCTAGCTGCTGGGTTGTCCGTCATCGCCTGCATTGGAGAGACTTTATCGGAACGCGAGTCCGATAAGACCCTGTCGGTAGTAGAATCTCAACTTGAAGGTATCAAGAGCGGGATTGAGAAATACGGCCAAAGCTGGAAGAACGTGGTAGTGGCTTATGAACCAGTTTGGGCAATTGGAACTGGGAAAGTAGCAACACCTCAACAAGCTCAAGAGGTTCACAAGGCAATCAGAGCTTGGTTTGCTAAGAAAGTTGATTCAAAAGTGGCCGAGTCGATTCGGATCATCTACGGTGGTAGTGTAAATGGAAAGAACTGCGATGAGTTATGTAAGTAATCTTGCTCGTTTGGTGCATTATGATTTCGTTTGTTAATTAATCTCTTATCTGGCACCGGACCTACAGCTCGAGAGGTAGATATCGACGGGTTCCTCGTAGGTGGTGCTTCTTTGAAGCCTGAATTTGTTCAAATCGTCAACGCTGGCAAATCAAAATTGTAAATTTATGATAGTGGGGTATTCAAAATAGATGCCAAAGTACTTTGTCATGTATCATTTATGCATCGCAAAATCTCTGTAGAAATCAATGTTGTGGTGCTTAAGTGGATGAAAGGGCTGCCTAGGTTGATGATGAGCGGGACGTTGTAAGATCAGTGGAGCGATTCATCATCGGATCTCTCAGTGTCAAGTCTCTAGAAGCTGAGGAAATAGCAAGTCTACGCAACTTTGGCATACCTTGGGTCAGGGTGGCCGCTAAGCTGGCCATTGAGTGTTGAGGATAAGGAGGATCACTGTATATCGTCATCTTTCTCATCTTTCCTATCATGTGCAGCTCGAGCACATCAAAAAACTTTTTGGGATGTGAGTGTGATATCTCCAACCCCATGTTCCAATGTGATGTCAGGTAATATATTGAGCTCCTGTGCTCCAATGCCCTTCCATTGTGACCATGCTTGCGAAGCGGCCCCACTCCCGCCTGCAAAGCAATCCCGGGGTTGAACAGAAAGTGACGAACTGAGTCCCCGAAAATTTTCATTAATACCTCAAGTTCATTTTGGAAAACATGGATCTGAGATTGTCAACTCGAGCAAGCCAATTTCTTGACTGTGGTGTTGGGTTTGTTGTCTCTGCTCAGCTCAGAGCGTTTGCAGTTTTCATATCCGTTTCGTGCCAAAGAGGAACTCGACGACGAATTCACACAAAAGAAGTGGAAGAGTTATACACCAATTTGCCTTGAGGTCCTGCAGGTTTGTTTTTCTCATCCATCGTGCATTTTCGGACCTCTTCAAAGGATTGACTGAGAATCTACAGCCTCAGGCACATCTGTTTAGAGGATCGACATCTTCACTGATATCCACTTCTTATTCACTGCCATCCTTTTTTTGAATTCCTCACTATAATTATAGCAGTCCATAAGGGAATTGAATAATGAAAAGGACTCAGTGGTATCAGTTGACTCTGGAGCCTCATAAATGTTGGCTCCTGCTCTTCAGGTCGACATCCCTCCTTCTTTTCAATTTAATTATTCCTTCTCGATTCCTCAAGACCATCCATCACTCAGATACTTCTCGTATACTCCTTACTACATTTTATTCCTTTCGAATCATTCCTCCTGATATTAAACTTTCATCGCTCAACATCTTACAAAGCAATATTGTCAAGCTTAGACAAATTCTCTTCATTCGAATTTTCCATTAATTCAAACTTTTATATCCTTTTTTATCATAAAATGGAGACCATCTTAAGTTCACCACGTGCTTTAGTTTTCTTTATCGTCGTTATTTTATCATTACAAACTCTAGCATCAAATCCCAAACCAGTGGATGAGAAGAGATTAGTTAAAAGAATCAAATCACCAGACGCTGAAGATATCGTTAAATCTGTTAAGAAGGCCTCTTCGCAAATCGGCGACGTTATGAAAGGAGAGACTATCAAGAGTAAGTTCAAGGTTTCTGTCTCTTATGAAGCATCTCTTCGTTCCACTTATTTTCGTTTTCGTCTTCTTTCTTCTTAAAGCTGTTATCACTTGGTACACTGGGCACGATTTACTCAACCCTTTCTGTGGACGAGAATGTGAGCTTCCTTTCTGTTTTGAACTTCATCTTTAGGAGCCATCTAATCGTTTCAATATGGAATTAGCAAAATGGGCTCCGACGGATGAATCTTTAGTCATTGCTGTCACTCAGAAATGGAACCTACGACCCGCCTGTGGTGAATTCTTCGAAATCTCAGTCGCTGGAGGAAAATCAGTTGTTGCTCGTGGTAAGTATCTCTTTTCTAAAGTGAATATCAAAAGGCTTCTTTCGAATATTTACAAGTTTTTCTTCTTTAGTTGTTGACCTTTGTGGTGGTTGTAAACCCGAAGTTCCACATGCCGATCTTAGCAAGGCTGCTTTCACAAAGTTATTCGACCTAGATGTTGGCTTTGTTTCTGGATTGAACATGCGTAAAGTCGATCCTCCTAAACAATGGAATGAAAAACTTTACGGACCTCGGACTCTATGAGTTTTTACATTCTGGAAGATCATCAAGTTTGAAGCTTCATTGGTTTCTAAAATTGATATTCTCCTCAAAGAGTGGTCTTACCCAACTATGATATTCTTTCCATTTCTTGGTTTTCATACTCCTTTAGTTACTTGATTGAAGTTAATTCAGAAAACTCTGATAGATTTTGTTCTAGTGTTCTCTGTTCTATTTTTCTTAGTATCAGCAATATCATCTTTGGTTAGATCTTTCTTGGTTGTTGTTCTCTTGATTTCGAGATTTCGATTTGTAGCTTTTTTTTCAAACATACCTTTTTTAATTTTGTGATCAACATTCCATTGTCAATTTATTATTATCATGATACAATTGTCCTTAATTCGGGTTTGACAATCCTATGGCAAAAGATAAAGAATCTTTCAAGTGAACCTTGAGATGATAGAATCGGATTTGAAGTTTGAAAGCTCCAATATGTTGAACAAACACTCAATCACATGGCTCATGAGATGATGCACAGAAAACACTATCTACATCAACTGTTTAATGATCCAATGTGTATGTCTTCTTGCTCGATGTACCCACCAGTCTTACCAAATTTGATAGATCAACCACCTTGCCAAAGCTTTCTTTCCATTTGAAACTTTTGATCATGTGAAGATTCCATCAAACAAAACAACACATTCTAGAACTGTTATCCATATTTATGCTTATTGATCTTTTCCCTGATCAACATTTATATTTATGGCCATGGTTTTGAAAAAAGTTTACCTACTTGCTGAAAAAGCCATGATATTTGATCAAAAATAACATTTGGCCACTTATTGCCTGTTTAATCTTCCCGTGAAATCAAAGGTTTGTTCTTTGCATTAAATTTGGTAATAGAATCGATGGAAAGCAAAAGTTGTAGAAAATAAAGAAAGCTTTGATTTTATTTAGTCATGACTAAAACACGAAGAGTGTGAGGAAAAATTGTCATGACATGACATCACAGTGGCTGCTATGAATGGAAGGAGAGAGGTTATACAAATCGTGAGATGATGGCAAGTGATAAAAAGTTGGTCATGAGCCCAAGTCCCTACGAGATTGATTTCCAACAAAGATCCATCTGTGTACCTTATCTTCCACCAAAAAGAATTTATTGTTTGGCTTGTAGTCTAGTTTATTGCTCACATCTCTCCAACAGCTTACGGTTAGAGTCTGTTAGCTTTGCAAGCGGGAAACTTTGAGTCACACAAGGTACTCGAATTGTACAAAAAGAATACAGTAAAATACATTCTTTTGAAAAAAAGAAACTACAGAACACATTCAATATATTTCCCACCTTTCTCTAGTCGTGTCTTGAATAATTTTTTCAATGCACGTGAATGCCAATCCGATCTTCTATCGCAGTTTACTTGACTTACTGATTTACTTTGAGAAATGTTCATGTTACCAACTAGTACCAATCGACCTAAACTAGGCCAGCGCCTTTGCCAATCAATACTACCTAACCCTATTTCACGACTGATCCCATCAGGTTTTTTGTGATCTTCGTACAAGCTTGCCCATCCCGGATTGAAACTCAAATCAAGAGTTCTGAGTGAAGGAGTACTAGACGCAAGTCGGTTTAGCACTATGGTAGGTAAGAGACTAGGATCAAGTTTCTGAGCCGCAAGACTAAGCTCTAGGAGGGGTAAGTTTTCTAGTAGACGAAGTAAAGAAGTAGATAAGACGATTTGAGATGTATGATCCAGTTTCAGAGTCGTAAGCCAAGGTGCGCGTAAGACGTGACCAGCGAAAATAGAACGTGAGAGTGAGGAGATAGTGATGGAGCAAAAGGAGAGATTGAGAGTTTTGTCCAAAAAGTCGGGTTCGGATTCTTCTTCCCAACTTTCTATGACATCTGGATCTTGGATTTGATGATCCTTTGGATCATTTAAGATTAAAGGAGGAAAAAACGCTGTAAAGCTATAATCATCCAAAGGAGACCATTCGGCTGCCAATTCGAATAAACGCTGTCTTTGAAGTTGATTGAGTTCGGGAATCACGCAGAACGATGCGCCAGTACCCATATAGCTCATATCGAATGCCAAACGACGAAGACAAGAATCACTCAGACTAGAGAATTCGAATCTTGGAGTTGAATCAGAGCGCCGAAGAATTGATTGACGGAAGACCAGCGAAGGTGGTAAGGGATCGAGACCTGAACTGGGAATTGACACAGGTAAATCGAGATCCAATTGAGGTGATCCTGGGAGGGTAGGAAGCCACGATGCTGGAGGCGGAGGCCCTGCAATATTTGTTTGACGAGGATTGTTGGCCTGATTAGGTGATGTGAAGGATTGAAAAGCGACTGAGGGGATATCTTCAAAAGCTGATTACACAACCAAAGAAAAGGGTTTCAAGTAAGCGAAAGCTATCGTTTCTATCAGGTAGAGCATCAAAATCAATCAGACCTGAAAGAATGTTTTCAGCCAGTTGACGTCGGATTGGAAGCGAATGTATGATAGACCCATGGCTGCTGATATTAGTTGAAGTCAAGTTGGATGATCGAAGTAGGTTAGCTTGATGTCGTCTATTTTCCAAACGAAGTCGCTGTAATCTTTGAGTGACTGATTCATTCCTTGATCCGATTTGACCATTATGATTGGAAGTTGATGTTGAAGCAGATAAAGGTTGAAGTGATGTATCATGACGAACAGTGGTTGATAAACCAGGGATGATACGAGTTGAGATAGGCTGATCAGAAGTCGGTTGAGATTTGGTCATGGTTCAAGTTTACAAAGCTCAGCAAAGTCAATCTCAGCAATTTCTGTAATTCCAACTCTTGAAACATTTCCTGTACCTCAACTGAGAGGAAAACTTCATGGCCGAGATCTTTGCAAACATCATCAATTTCCTCAAACATCAGGATGAAGAAGACCCCATCAGTGTGTATCACATAAAAACTGCCTCACTTGAATGAGTCATGACTCAATGAAATATGGAGCTCTTCCTGCAATTTGGGGCATCACATTCACGCCGAAAGTGTTTCCCTTCAAAGACAACAAATCAGTTAAGATCAACCTGGATTATACCCAGGATAGGCTTTAGCATCATATTGGACACGCCAAGCAGACATGTTCAAAAACATAAGCTTGCAGGCAAGCCCTTTAGCTTATAACTTATAAGTCCTTGCACCCGGGCAAGAATTTATGCGAGACTTGAAGTCATTTCTGACAATTTCCTCTGGCAGAAAGTGCTTTGGCTGGTGCAGATTGGTCAAGACTTTCCCGGACATGCCCTTCAACATGGAAACCCTCACAATATGTGTTCATTGCCAACATATTCATCCTATAAACAGATGCTTTCACCCTTTTTAGCCCCCCATTTCCCCAAGTGAATAAATGTGGCAATTTCATCCTCTCAGAGTTCCCATACTTTGGATGCACTTTGTATATGTGAGCACTTTCAAAGCAAAAGACTGGAAACTGCACTGATTAAACTGAAGATCCTCTAGAGTTTCGACTTCCAGCCAACTTCTGGCTGCAAATCCAATGCTACCTATAATTACAATCTGAATTTGAGTAACTTTGAACCTCAAAATACACTTTATTACTTCTCAGTTCACACACTAATGAAGAGACAAGTAGCATAGTAGCTCTCTTCACAGTGTTGGGGGAGATTCTTATCACCTTGCTCAGAGTTGGATAGCTGATAGAAAAAAGTTTGTATGCATACGTGATCCTCTCCGTTATATTTGTGTGTATCATTCTGTTTCATGAGCTTCAAAAATAGTTTGTGCTTTAAAATTTTCTGTTATGAAGCTCCTACAAAGCTTGCAAGTTTTCATTGTTCTTTGTTGAGCCTGCGGGTTTTTGTCATGTTTGGCTTGGAGAAATGGGTGTAAGTCTATGTTTTGGTCATCAGAACCTTTGATACTATTACCAGTGTTCAAATCAAATCTCCTTTTTCTTATGGACTTGAGCCACCCCAACAAGTTTTCCACACTCAAAGCTGGGTAGAGGTATACACAGCCATGGTGGATTTCGAGTCTCTTGTGAATTCGTGTCTTCGCGATCGAGTAGTAGCACGTGTTTTTCGTGTGAATGTTACAGGTGAGCAGCACGCGATGTGTTAAGTTTGTATGTAATCCTCCTTGTGTATGTAGCGCGTTGCTCTTTGTTGATCTCGAGTTGGATTTGATTTGATTTCTACCCACAGTCACCCACAACCAGCTTCCACAACACTACAAACCAACCATCAATCAATCAATCAATCAATCAACATCCTATCCTATCTCACTTCAAAGGTCAATCCATCCATTCTTTCTTGCTTGTATCACCACCGATCCAATTGAATCAGGTAACATGTCAAAAGTTATTCGTCGTCACTCCGAACCTCGCCCCCAAGATGTGTCTCATACTCCAGACATACCCCGGACCAGCTCCAAGCGTAAATCAATGGATGTAGCACAATCTAGTACATCCACATCGAATATCAATGGGTCTCATCGTAAATCCATTGATGGCAGTACGCGAAAACGCACAGAGGATCAATTACAGCCTGTTCCGGAAAGCCAGGCGACACAAACCAAGCCATCCACCTCCAAGAAACCTAGCATCTTGAACCCCCTCAAGAAAGCCTCGTCTCAAAAAAGACACGTCTCTGCAGCAGATGCTTCCTCTCAACTTGCTAAGAAACCTAAATTAGATATTCTCAACAAACCATCCAAAAAGAAATCTTTACCACAATTATCTTCGAAATCATCAGGTCTTTCTCTTCCTGAATCTTCCGATAGGAATGACGTTCCAACGGCCAGATGTCACCAATGTCGATCAGAGTTTGTACTAGAACAAATCTTGATATGTCAAAACACTAAACCGCCAACTCAAAAAGGAAGGCCAGCCGACAATGGGAACTTAGCTCCGGTACGGGAATCCACTTCAAAGGTAAATTCGGGTGATGTAAAATTGGTGAAATGTAATATGAAATATTGCGCAAAATGTTTGCGTTCGAGATAGTAAGTAATTATACCGCGACTTCGCCGATCAGCTTGATTGAGATTGACATACCTTTTGGTTTGATTTTTAGTGGGGAAGAGATAGAAAAGATAAGGCCTGTACTCACTTCACCATATGTTTGGACATGTCCGATGTGTATGGATTATTGCAATTGCTCTCCTTGCAGGAAACGGAAAGGTTTACTTCCCACTGGGTCAGTCTGGTATCTTTGTTTGCGTAATATTCTGTCATGTCACTAATTTTGGGAGATACGACGGTTTGATGACGTGATAGACGATTGGTGAAAATTGCTGCAGAAGGCGGTTACGCCTCGGTGCGGCAGCTACTCGAAGTAGTTCCAAATGCGCAGGTAAGTAGAATGACTCCTCAAACTCTCATATGGTCTATGATTAATCGAGTCTTGACTTGTAGGGACCGGATATAATAGCACTTGCCAATAATAAAAAACAAAGACTAGATGAAGCAAAAGAGTCTGGCATCACGCCAAAGCCTACGAAGAGTAAAGATGGGAAGCCGCAAGAAGACAAAGCCGCCAAAGGATCAGACTCGAAGCCTAAGAAGCAGGTCAAGCCCAAGTCGGGAGTTGTGGTCGCCATTCCAGCTCTTGGAAAAGAGAAGACCAACAAATCTAGCCAGTCCAAAGAGACCAAGGGTGATCTTTCGAGCAAAAAACTTGAATCAGCATTGCAAGCGAAGACTTCTACGGGTCCATCGAGCTTTAATCCAAAAGTTGCTACCTCCAGTGGATCAAGTGACCTTACACAGCCGTCGACCTCACAGGGTGGTTCAAGTGACGCTCAAGTACAACCCGCCGTCCCGAAAGTACCCGTCAAACGAGGTCCCAAGCTTGTCCTAGCGCCTGAATGTTTTTCTTCGATTCCAACTGGTGAATTGAGTTCTGAACAGATCCAACTGAGGATTCACGCTCGAGAGTTCGTATGTCGCTTTAGGTCTCTTCTACCAGGCTTGGGTCGGACGGAACATGCGAATTCGAAGAATGAAACTCAACGGGTTGAGAAAATACTTGATAGTATGGATGACATTGTTAATTTTTGGATTGACGATGAGGGTGGTATGCGAGCGATCATGAGTGGATTAGTCAAGTTGATACTCAGTGAAATTGACCCAGAAGAACCAAATGAGAAAGAAATTCTGTTATCGGATAGTAGTTATGAGACGTTGGTTCAACTTAACAAGGAGAGTAAACTGAGTGGTATGATTCCGACTCCTTATCATTCAGCTTCTTCTGTGTGTTGGTCGAGTAAGTAGTTTTGTATTCGCCTTTCCAAAAGTGCAAGAAAATCACGTTATGATTTACCATTTGATTTGAACCCATTTTTTTATCCTAGCTGCTCAAACATTTCTCACGCAAGAAGGACTACATACTCAGCTCACGAAGAATAACAAGAATGTATATATTGATAGTGCACCTTCTTCAGATACACGACTCTCACGCGTGAGAGTGCTACCTGAACAAAAGGTAGCCGTCATAACTGGGTTGATCGATGTGGCTTTTCGTGGGAAGATCTTGGCTGATGATCTACTTCAAGTCAGTAAAGTTGACGTTTTACTTGAAAGATGATCATACATTTAACACTTTCTCACATTCCGTCTCTAGGGTGTCGAAAGGGAACGAATAGCCAAAGCTGACATTGTTAAAGATCGAGTGAAAATCAATAAACAATGGGCAGAAGATAAAGCTCAACTTGTGGCTGTTATGCCATCTAAAGAGTCATTGATTAAGACTGATCCTCCTTTGAAGGGTAAACAACTACAAAAAATGCAAGAAGAAGAAGAAGAGCGATTACGCGCCTTGGGTGAATGGGAAGTACGAGTGAGTTTTTTCTTGTCTTTTAGAATTCCATTGACCTTAGCTCATTGATTTTGGCTGTCATGTTACTCTTGCAGATGGCACAGGTGGAATCCGATCATAAAAATGGATTACGGTTAGCCGGTATTGCGCAATACCTTGCTGGATCAACGAACCGACTCAGATTCCTGCCGATTGGTCAAGATACGAGAGGCAACTTATATTATATTCTAAGTAGTACACCAGGTCGACTTTATCCAGAAGAACAAACCGAATTAGCGTACGCATGGAGTTATAATCTGCTTATACATGGATCAGAACCAAGTGATTTAATCCAACCTGTTAAAAAACCCAATCAAGCGGTTATTGAAAAATCTTCAAAAGAATCATTACCGGAAGATGAAGATGTAGATATGCTTGAAGGAGGTCAACGTGATCCAAATGATCAATGGATTCGAATTTCAAGTCCTATTGAAATTAGAAAACTGGGATCATGGATCGAATATGAAGCTAAATTGATTGAACACAAACAATTGAAAAACATTGATGAATCAGATCAAGTATTAAAAGAATCTTTAGACGGTAGTACTAGTATTGGGGCTGTTAAGAGTATGGCTTCTTTGGTGGAACAAATCAACACGTTTGCTGAATATCTTGAATTGAAAATCACAGAATCAGATGATCAATTAGGAACAAGATCAGCTAAAAATCGAAATAATCTTACTACTAAATAAATTAAATTAGAATTCGATATGGTTATTATTTTGGGAGTCTCAATTCTTCAAAAAGATTTAATCATGTTGATGTAATTTCTGTTTTTTGTAAAAAGATTCATTATCATCTATTTTTCATATAGAATGTTGTAGTTTTCCTTTCTTTTTAACTGATTTCTGAAAACCAACTTCTTACTTTTATCATTTTTCCATTGTTATTAGACTTTCATAATCAATGACCTTTTAATCACTCACCTACCAAATGGTATCCACCGTCTTCAGGCAGCTCTGCTTGCTGGACCGGATTTCTCATGACCAAAGAGCGTGATCAATCAGTTGGACGACGGGCAGTAAAATGCACCTATTGTGATAATGTGATGGATGGGAAACCTCATGATTTGCAGAAGCACACGATAGGCTTATGCAAATCAATCCAGTATCTCTTCCGTGATCTCACTTTTTAGACATCTCTTTCTCGAGTTTGGCTCGATTTTCGCTTACAGAATAACGCGCCTGGCGCGGTGTCAATCCAAGAACAGGCGTAGGGAGGATTATGGAATACTTGAAACGGTCAACAGCTTCAGTCGAGATATCCCAATCTCACGATCGAAAGCTATGCTTATCATGCAAGAAATGATCTCTTCCTTTCCACTTTCAAGAATTTGCACCGTTGTTTTTCTATTCTTTTTGTTTTCGTAGTTTTCCATACTCATACGGCGCGCCCTAAATCTAAACTCCACGCAGATCCACGCTCACCACGTGAGGAGTCTTGATACACTGGATTTTCACACCTGATCCTCGGATGCTGAGAGGGCTGAGAACCTCCAGAATGTGGTCCACATACCGATGAGTCGGCTCTGAGTCAGCTCTCGCGGTTCGAAGAATTTTAAACCAGCATCAGATCTTTATACTAACAATTCTTTGAATTTGGGTCAAAAGTGTGTGATCAACATGATGGGGCTGTTGACAAGAGACACAGAAAGGTTTGAAAAGTGAGTAGTTTGAATCGAGCCAAGGGTCTAGCATTCGGCTGAGACACCTCATCAATCGCGTGATTTGTGAAGAGTTTGCTTTTGCACTATTCTTAGGTTACTACGAAATTTCCAAAAATTCTTGTCCGTCGTGTGACCTACCAGTTTCCCGCACGGCAATGCTCGCATGCTGAAAGGAGAGATACTCGTCAGTAAAGTCAACTCTTGATTGGAAACAAAATATCACTGACTCAAGAAATCCACCTTATAAGGATTATAGTCTGGGCAAACATATTGATAACCTGCGGCGTTGCTACAACCTAAACGTCACCAATTCAGATGGGGAAGATGAATCTCAGATAAGAGATCTTATCAGGGTCGTATGATTTAAGGCTATGGACACTGACTATAACCTTTGTTCTCTCCCAAGTAATTATATTGTGAGCATTGTTGATTGCTGAAATCCTTGTTATTTGACTTGGCGAGTTGGCAGTGCTTAAAAGGAACCCATTGATGACCTAACATGAGGAATATAAAGAGATGCCCGCTTATACTCAGATTTATGAGACGTATCAAGTGTAAAGATGGATTGTAAGAGACTTTTACTATCATCCAAGCAATTTTCAATTTTGCAGTTGTAATGCTTTTCTTCCAGCTCATTCAGTATCAACCTACATGCTTTTCATGTGGGGGATTGCAAACCAACTTCGCATTAGCAGTGGTCGTAACTTGTTTTGGAGTCATAAGGATGAGGATAGAAATGGAATGTAATACATACCTACGTTGTATCGACCGCCTGAGTAAAATGAGATCCCACCGTTACAGTTGACCTTATAAAGTGGCTTCTCGGCATTCAGGCCATTAATCTTCAAGGAATACAGTAGGAAGGCGATCTTGAGGAAGATATGGAGCATGTTGCAGCAAAAGGCGAACAAGAACGTCAAGTAAAATACAATTTCAATTTGTGAGAGTGAAAGGGGAGTGACAATTTGCCCAACCAAAGACGGTCAGGGAGAAAGCTTAAATACTCGCTGGCTCAGAGCGGCTCGACGCCTCGCCGCCGCCACCCGGGAGGAACCATTGAGTTTACCTCGCAGAATGCCCACTCTGACTTCCGTGGGGAGTCGGTCAGCTGGAGCATCACCTCCAAGTGAGACTTCAAATTTCTTCTTGAAGGAGGCTCTGCAAGGCGTCCGTTGCTACAGTAAGTATGGTAGCTTTCCATAGGAGGCACGACGGAGGTAGGCGTTGTCCACGATTACGGGTAATGCGACGGCAAGACCTCGTTGACAAATCCTCTACCATACCACGACGTAGCAGGTCTGGAAAACTGCCTATTCAGATTAATATTACATCGGTTAAGACGCTTCTAGTCCAATGTGAAAATGGCCCAGTCAGGGCCCATCCCGTTTAGATAACAACCAACCCTGTCAAAATGGGCGCAAGTTTTTCTAGAGGACTTTATAGACGAGGACACGGACGAGAAGAAGAGAGTTTCTTCCCTTCATCCGTTACCATCAGTTTATATCCTTTTTACCATTTCAAGTCAAAAGAAATTCGAGTAGAAATTCTCCTTTACAATATAAGCCAAAAAGACTTTTTCGAGTGATCACTAAACTCTACTATTGTAAAAAGAAATACCTTAGCTGCTCAATCTATAAAGAAAATTTTTCGAAAAAAGCTCAACCTTTTGAAGAAACCAGCTAAAGGCTTCCTTCTCAATTTTTTTTTGATTTCTCTCTTATCTTTACTTCGCGTAGAATCCCCGTTTTTTCATCCTTTTCATTTCAATTTTTAGATCTCCCCCTTTTTTCGTACATACTCCACTTACTCAGTCCCCCCTGTTTGTCTCTACGCCTCCGGATCCCTCACCCCCACGCAAGCAAACCAAGACCATCCTTGCAAGAAACGGCAAAATGACAAACATCAACTTAGGAAACATCACATTGCGAATGTCAGCACTCACCCCCTCAGGAAACAGCAACAACGACCCAGCGGTGAACGGGTCATTGACCACCAACACCACAGGGAATGCGGAAATAGATAAACGTAAAGAGACGGAGACCGACAAAAACAAGGATACAAGTCAGTCGGCAAATTCTAGCGGCACAGGTGCCAAAGGTGAGCTCACAAGCTCCACCCAGCTAGTCATAAAGCGATCTCGAGAGAGATTAACTCAACAACCAACGACGCTGACACAAACCAACCCCTCCCACCTTTTTCCCTGCTGAACGTAGGAAAAGAAGCCAACCCACCTGAAAAGACAATCACGTCCAACCAGGGGAACAAGCAAAAAGGGAAAGGTAAGAGATACTCCATCTCAAATGTTTTAAAAAAGTCGGTGGCTAAAACTGATCATAACGTGTAAAATGATCCAGAACAACCAGAGAAAAACTCGGAAGAGCAACCATCTTCAACACAAAAAAGCCACTCCAAAAAGCGCGATAACATTGAAGATTCGATTTCTAGAATGGAACGAGATTTCTGCGAATATTTCGGAGCAGCACCTCCCAAACTCCCTAAAATCAAGAAGATCCAACGTGTCGAAGAAAACCAGACACAAGGACCCAACCAAGCTACCCCTTCCAAAGACTCTCCGTTCGATTTTGACGAAGAAACAAGGAAGAAAAAACTCGAAGAAGCATACGCTAGGTTGGAAGAGATCAACAAGATGAAAGAAGAATTGCAGACAATAATTAACTTGATCAAAAGCCAAGAGAAATCGGCGATAGACCTCACCGATTCTCATACAGACAAGACGCACAGCCCCAACTCCTCATCTGCACTCGTAGAAGGTGGTCTGTCCTTCGATCTCACGAAAGCTCCAGACGCAAGCTCATTCAGTCTGCCAATTTATTTCCACAAGAACATGCAAGCATTGCAAGGTTCCCTACCGCTCACGGTGTTTAACAAATCTTGGCAACAAGCGGCGAGCGATACACACACAGAGTACAAAAAATCCGATAAAGACAATGATAAGTACAGAGGACACCCTGTCCCAAGTGAATGGACTCAGTCTCGCTACAACTGGACCGAAAACATGGACAACCTCATCACCACCTGTAGAGAAGTCTACAAATACATCGGTTTTGCAGACTCCATGGAAATCCACAAGAAGAGGGTCATGACAATCTTCAAACAGCAACGTAGCTGGGTAGTGGCCTTCCGATATGATCTCACAGTAAGGAAAGCGGTTTTCGCAATCAGAAACCCGGGAGCAAGCGTCCCAAACCCGGCTCTAGAACCCACAGGCTTACTGGACGAAATCTACTATTCAGCCAGAGCCCAAAACGACCTAGTGACCTCTGATAACCCTTACAGAACTGGAGGCCCCAAATTCGGTAAAAACCCATATTCAGACATAACAACAGATCTACCAACATCCCAAGCTTCGTACCAAGCCAATTCCCAGGCTAGCTCGTCTTCAGGACCTCAGAGAGTCACTCCATATACCAAAGGACCGAGTTTGTACGGAAACTACAAGGGTCGAAACTTCAACGCCAACTACAAAAGGCCAGAGACAGGAAAGAAAGATTATAAAGGAAAAGGAAAAGAAAAGAAAGAGTAGGTTCCCTACTTTCCTTCGCAATCTTTCCTATGCCCTCTTTGTCTCTTTTCTTCTCAGTCTCATCTCTCCCATGTACAAATTTCACTACAAAGCCTTCTTTGTTCAAAAGGTTGTAAACAGATAAAAAGAACAAAAATACTCATGTACATGTTTCTCTGTTCTCCTCCTGTACATAACATTCACCCCATCTTCTCACAAACCCTTTTTTGATGAAACCCACACTTGTTTACCTACCAAAGAACATTGTGTTACAAAGATTCCAACTCGTGCTCTGACGATTCATCAATCATTTCCATGACCAGTGAGATGAGTTCGTCAAGCAACAATGACGGAGTCAGGTGGCTCGGAGAAGACAAATGGCCTACTAAAGTTACTTGTGAGATGAACATTGAGGAATGGGAAAGAGCACTCAAAGCAGCGGACCTTTTCGACGAATACGAAGACGTAATTGAAGGTTTTACCATAGGTTTCGACCAGGGTATACCTCAACATTTCTTCAAAAACGCGAAATGGTATACCCCTCCGAACCATTCCTCGTCGCTATTAGCAGAAGAGAAAATCAAGAAGAGCATGGAAAAAGAACTAGCTCTAGGACGGATTTTTGGTCCATTCACCCACGAAGAAGTCCACAAGAGGTGTGGTTTCTTCCGAACCAACCCTATGGGTGCTGTAGTCAACGCCGACGGATCAGTCAGACCCATAAACGACCTTTCCTTCCCCAGGAACAACCGAGATATCCCTTCCGTAAATTCGTTTGTCGAAGCAGATGACTTTAAAACGACATGGGATGACTTCGCAACGGTATCACAATTTTTCAGGAAAACCACCGACCCAGTTCTATGCGGTATCTTCGACTGGGAGAAAGCATACCGTCAGATTCCAACCAGAATACCACAACGCAAGTACATGATGATTCTCGGACCTGACGGTCGCATTTATTATGATAGCAGGATTGGTTTTGGAGGAGTAGGCGGCTGCGGTTCCTTTGGGCGACCTGCAGATGGATGGAAACTTATTATGAAGTTTGAATTCGAGCTCATAGAAATCTTTCGTTGGGTAGACGATGCCCTCTTCGTCAAAGCAATCAACTCAACGCTCTCAATGAGACAAATCGTGAACAGAAGCTTACAACTAGGAGTCATAACGAACGAAGAAAAGATATCCGAATTCCAACCAGAACAAAAGTTCATTGGTTTCATCTGGAACGGCATAGACAAAACGGTGTGATTGCCAAAAGAGAAGTTGGAACAAAGGAAAGCACAAATAAATGAAGCTTTGGAAGAAGATCGACGCTTTTCTTTCAATGAGGTAGAGATCCTGGTTGGCCGGCTAACCCACGTATCACTAATGCTTCCACAACTGAAATGCTGCTTAACGTCACTCTACAGGTGGATGAAGAGCTGGGTCCACCGATTTGCAACCCAACTCCTCCCGTCAGATGCTAGAAGAGACCTTGAGTGGAAATGTATCCTCTCGATTTTCAAGCAGACAAGACTTATAAAATTCTCAGACCCGGTGGACCTGGGGTGGGTAGGGGACGCTTCTCCCAGTTATGGGGTCGGCGTGATGTTCGGAAAGGAATGGTTCCAGCTCAAGCTTAAAGACGGCTGGGAAGATTCAGGTGAAACCAAGAGAAGCATCGCGTGGCTCGAAACGGTCGCCATACGAATTGGCTTGTTACATCTGATATCAATAAGGAGCTATGAAGGCAAAACCGTCATAGTATGGACGGACAACACCACGAGCGAAAACACAATCAAAAACAGGAAATCACGCGACATTGAAGTAAACACCGAGTGGAAGAAAATCCAGAAAATTCTCATCACAAATCAGATGGATCTAGTAGCTAAACGAGTAATCTCGAAAAGAAATGTAGCTGACGACATTTCAAGAGGAGAAGATAAAGACCATGACAAGGACGAAAGGGATAGAGTGATGACCTGTATCCCTCCAGATATAACAAACTGTTTCACTCAAAACTACAAGGAAGACGACGGATCAGCTACATTGGAGCACCAGTTCCCAGGACTGGTCAGGAGAGACGAGATCTTCTTGCTGACAACACCTTTTTAAGAAAGGTAAGACACCGTGCCCCATGAAAAGTGGAAATGTTGATCACACGCTGACACGAGTAACTCCACACCCTTGTCCTGTATCCCATAGGAAAACAGGAGGGACACGAGTACAGATTTTGAAGGGTGGGACTTTCCAAATTTTTACCCTTAGCAGATGTCTATAGTATGCATAGTGTATGATGTACCATAATAACAGACTAAGTACAAGATGCAAAAAGAATGATTGATGTGTAAAGTGTCCATCTTATCAGAAGAATACTAGACCTTGCCTTTGGTCTGGCCATCGCGACTGAGACGTACTAAAAAGGTTTCGTTCCCGTGACAAACCAGGAGTAATGTATTGAACCCTTTCGCCGTAGACCCAAAGGGAAGAAGAAGAGAGAATGAGCAAATGAGTCGGCGCTGTACGAAGTAAAATACAAGAGATGACGCATCCCACCAAAACGTCGAGAAAAGAATCAAGGTATTTTTTGCCAAAAACGAGAACAGTCGCCCAAGGGCGATACCATGCCTCCACATCACTAGCGAAGGGAAGGTACAAAGATTCTTCAAAGATGAATACAAACGAACTCGACTTATCAAAAATCAAGTGTTTCATCAGCAGGGGCAGAAACGAACTTTTTAATGACAAAAGGCAAAGACATTTGATGAACGGTTGGAAATGGAATACAGTAGTTAGCTACAACGGGGCGGTAAGAAAGTTCCTGAAGTGCATGAAAGAAGAGTCAAACAGGACTTTCGACCTACCAGCATCCAAGAATGAGATCTACGCCTTCTGCGTCTGGGCAGGAAGAACACTAGACGGCCCGACATGTGAGGACATTCAGTCACAAACCTTAGCAAAATATCTGCATGGATTGAAGGTGTGGCACATCTACCACTTCGAAGAATACCCCAAAGTAGAAGAAGCAATTATTAAGCAAATGCTCACATCATCGAAGAAATTAGATGCACTGGTTCCAAAGTCGGTCGAGAAGAAAGCGGTGCATTTGAAACATTTACTTCAACTAGTCGCAGAACTATTGAAAGGAGGTGCAAGGGACATAGCGATCATGGACACAGTTCTGGTTGCTTTCTGGAGCTTGGCAAGGTTGGGAGAAATGACAGGTGATAAGCAAGACTCTTCAGAAGTCATACGACGCTCAGACGTAGAATTCACTAAAGGAGGTGGCATAGAACAAAGCTTCATATCGCTGAGAGGAGCGAAAACAGCAAAGGCAGGAGAAACGCAAACCTTACAACTTATACGCCTGAATCACGTGCTATGCCCAATAGCAGCTTTGGAAAGAAGACTGGCTCAAACAACCGGGAACGACGACCCCCTCTTTAGCTTTACAGAGAATGGTTTGAGACATGTCCTACAGAAACAAACCATCATCACGGCATGCCAAAATATATGGAATGCAGGAGGCGAGAAAGGTCTGACGGGCCACTCCTTCAGAGTCGGAGGAGCTTCACTACGTTTTGCGCTAGGCATCCCAATCCCGGAAATTTGTGAAATTGGGAGATGGAAGTCAGAGTCTCATAAGTTGTATATAAAAGCATACTCAAAGAAAGAGCTATCAGAGACAAGAAACTTGCTAAATGAGCTACGAAATCACACATTGCATTAAACATTGATAACAACAGCAACGGTGAAATAAAGACGTAACGGATTTGTAACAAAACACACTCCAAGGACTGAAAGGATCGGGTTTTTGGTTTTACAGGCTCAGGCCTTTCAGTCTTGAGAAAAGGGTTATTAAAACCTCAAACCAGACTTTCCATTGATCCTAACATCTGGATCAATACTAAGTTTCGGAATCTCAATGGTGTGTTCTAAGAACCTTGAGTCATTTTAATAAGATTGACTCTCCCATTTCCTTGAAAATCTTTAAAGAAAAGTTTTAAAGGAACTGAAGGTTCTACAAACCCAAACACTGGTAGTCCTGGACGTCACGTCGGGACTACCTAGAGCCATTACTAAGTTAGAAAAATATTCATCTAAGAATATGTAATTTAGTATTGTCTTGAACGTGTAACACATTACAGTCGAACCTGCGCAAATGCATAATTTGGGTGGAAAGGCCAAGCTATGCAATTACGCGGGTTATGCACAGAGGGGTAAAACTCACAATTGCATAATGTATGCAAAATGGCCTAAATGCATAAAATTATACATTTTGACAGGTTTTATGTGAGAAAGCGAGAAGAGTGGGGATTTTTCGATTTCATTGGTTATGTAGGTAGTATATAAGTATGTAGTTATTGATATTATTGTATCCTACAACAAATTCATAGATTTAAAAAGAAGATAACAACTAATTGAAATATTCTGTGATAGATGATTGCTTTTTATTCCCAAATGCAACTTCAGACTCGAGTTTAGTCAGGTACTTCCGTAATAAGCAATCTAATTCGAGTCCTTCCATATCCCCAGTACCCTCGATTCGAGCAATCAGGAGAGATGTAGCTTTATAAGCCTCAGCAGCTGAGGGAAGTGGTTCGGGATCTGGTTCGGCCTCCGCTTCCTCTTCAGCCGTGTTCATTTGCTCGACAATTTCTTCGGCACTCAGAACTCTGTCAATAACAGGTGTCTCATCCTCGGGATTCAGAAGCTCGCTGATTGACATGCGGTTGATTGGCAAAAGAAGACCAGCTTTGATAAGGTTCTGTAAACCTTGGTCGAGATTGATGTTCTCCGGATTGAGATTGGATAGCTGAGCATCGGTTAAATGGTGTCTATCAATCAGAGAATAGAATGAGATCATATTTATTAGCTATGACATGAAAGCGTATAAAGAAGGAGTAAAATAGCATACTTGACTCCGTCCTTAAAGTCTATGATACCAGTGTGACCCCAGCAGTTTTTGATTGTTTCTTTGGTCACAGAATGCCAAGCTATTTTAGCAAGGCGCATCGCAGTGAGTATATCGATGTCATAAAGGTCTTTAGCGGCAACATCATGATTGAGACGTCGGAAAGCACCGGTAAGGAATCGTTTACGATAATGTGCCTTGAACGCATGGATGATACCGGCATCAAGTGGTTGAACATGAGCGGTAAGGTTGGGCTTAAAAAATTCCAGATGGATGTTGCTGAGGATGTTATCGCCTATTTTATGACCCAAAAAGTTGTCAAGTAGGAGCAAGATCTTCCTGCCATCAACTCGGAGTTGTCAATCCCATGCTTGAATCCAAAGGTCAAAGATAAAGGATGTCATCCATGATGTCTTGTTGTTATAATAATCAATTCCTAGAGCGGACACAGTCTTCTTATTGAATGCTCGAGGAGACTTCCATCGGCCAATGAAAGTGAGGTGACGCTGGTCGGATCCAGTTGCATTACAGACACACACAACAGTAATACTAGATTTTGAGCCTTTCACACCGGGAGTGCTTACACTTGCTAGGCCTCGGTCTGGAGGCATGCTGTTTCAGAAGGGAAAGAAAGAGATGAGAAAAGAGATTGGAAGACAAAAAGAGAACAGATGCAGATACAAAGAACAAGACTGACACATAAAATAAGCCGGTCTCATCCATGTTATAAACATTGACTGGTTCATACTGGGCAGTGATCTCAAGCATTCGCTCCTTCTCGGCTTCAACAGTCTCAGGATCGGCAGATGCAGCCTCGCCGTGTCGTTTGAATTCACGCAAGTTATGTCAAAGCTTGAAAGAGTCGAGCCACCCGCCGCAAAGAGTGAGCCAGTTCTTGCTGTCAATTTTTCCAAGCCGAGCAAAGTGACGCCACTTCTCCTTGATCTGATCACCGGTGACAGATTGGCCAAGCTGTTTGGACATACGTATCCATGTCACAAGCTGTTCTTCAATTTCGGGGAACTTGACATCTGCCTTTTGCTTCGTTTGGCTACTGACTTTACCAGCTAATTCTCGAATTCTGTCCTCGTCCTTGAGCCAACGACTGATGTTGGGTTGACTGATGCTCATGTTGCGATGAATCTTTGAAAAGTGTTGAAAAGTCTTAGTCTGAGTTTTACCATTTGCATAGAACCATTGAATTACTTCTAGGCGCTGACCGTAGGTGAGACTGTTTTTCTGGCTTGAAGGATCTCGGTTTGATCTTTTTGATTGTACAGCCTTTGAGAGAGAGGAACGGGGGCGAGCTCTTTTATTGTCACTATCGTTGGTGAGAGAGGACTTTTTACGTTGATTCATCTTTTTTTGTTGGCTTCCAATAATTGTAATTGATAAGAAGAAATTAATTGTTGAACGGCTTGATAATCTTCGTGGCTCAGAGAGTGTGGCTCGTTTTCTTCACTGGAGAGGAACAGATCTACCAGAACTTTCTCAGTCACGTAATTACCTCCGTTGTCCAGCCAATCCTCGTCTTTGTTTGAAAGTTTTTCGCCGGCTTCTTGTTGTGATTCAAGTTTGTTGGTGCGTATTTGAGCAGCGTCCACAAGGCTTTTGAGTCCAGCTTCTAGTAAATGAAGATCATGCTCCTCTGAAATTAAATCGGGTGGAAAGTCTGCCGGGATTTTTGAGGAAGGTGCAAGATAGATGATGTTACCAATACATGTGAAGTGAATTGGATTGTTGGTGTTGTATTTGAGGGGTTCCACCCCCAGAGAGGGCTCTTCACTGGCGGGCATGCTTGATGTTTTGGTCTGTTTGCTTCTGTTTGCTCCCAGTTGACCTATGCATTATGGGTTTCAAGACCCGGTTTTTTCATTTTAAAGTTATGCATTATGGTTTTTGGCATAATTATGCAATAAGCATAAAATTTGGCCCGCACCACGTGGGGAGAACCCCTGACCTATGCATTTTCACGGGTTATACAGTTGCGCGGGTATACATTTGCGCAGGTCAGACTGTAGTTGAAATTACAAAGGTATAAAGTGGATACCACAGATCAAACCCTGAAAGACCTCGCTGACCCTTTCCCATCCAAATTAGTGATCACGGTCAAACCTCTCAAATAGCATTTAAGCATTTATCAACTTAAAGTTCCGATTTAGAGTCCTTAACAATTTAAAGTCTGATATATTCATGTTTTATTAGATCACAACATATGGATAGCAAGGAATCACCTCAATATTGTCTTCATCATTTCCAATCATTTAATGATCAGTTTTGATACCAATTATTTTTTTGACACAAGAATTTTCATCCTTCTGCTTATTATCAATGGAAAGATTGGTTGTCATTGTCATATGATAAAAGACCATTTAACAACACTCAAGCAAGCAAAATAATAACATCAACCAATTATAACAAAAACATTAAAGTGATCTTATTCAAAGTAAAGAGCTGTTCCTAATCGTGACTTTGCTGACAATATCAATCATCACATCATATGATATCAACCACAACAATCCATAACAATGATTTGATTATCATGTAAGCTATCATTGCTTGAAAAGTAGTTCTGATGAACAAAACAAGGTTATAAGACAATGACTGGGACGTCAGTGTCAAATGAAACAAACCACAATAAAAAAGTAAGCAATGCAAAAAAATCAAACAGTGATATAATATAAGGAAACAATGATAAAAATATGATAAAAAGAAAACCACAATGGTAAACCAAGAGAGTGGTTAGCAATTAGAAGTGGTTAGGGGTTTGCTTAGGCTTAGGGCAGAGGATACTCTAAGTATTCTAATTATCATGTATGAAGAGTGGCACAGGATACATGTACTTTATTTTCAATAGAAATATAGTAAGTATCATACTAGATTTTTGGATGATGTCTCATTGTGTGTCTCACCTTACGTCTCATTCTCACTGGAGGTTGAAAGCTCCACCATTCCCTGGGGAGTGAAAGTCAGTTCTGTTCCCCACTTCTCTAGAACCACATTTCATCTGACACCGAAGAGCCATTTGAAAAGCCATTGTGAATCATTCCAATTGTGTGTATCATAGCCAGAAGCGTAAAGCTATACACATGCTATCACAGGGAATGCATGACTGATCCTGTTAGTAAAGATGCATTAACAGTCTCTCTCTGAAATATCTGAGCTTTGCAAAAAGGCCCTTAAGGCTTCAGGAACTAAGATGTCAATTAATTGTGCAACTAAGCTTGAACTCCACACATAATGATACACATGAAAAATTTGGCCACCAGTTGTAAGGCTTCAATTTAAATCCACAAGTTCTCCCCTGTGACTTGATAGGCTATACCAACCTCAGCATCCCAGATCTATCAAGTTCTGCAATCCTAGCACGTAAACACCCTTTTGAGAAAATCTGTAGTACATAGAACAAATGTGCAAGCTAAGAGAATATGATATGTTAAATGGGCACTTGCTGACCACTTTGTGATAATAGTCAAAAAGATAATAGGCCCCAGAGAAATAGTTCTCAATACTTTCAATTAAGGCTCCGACCCGGCCCTGGCCCAATTTATTTGAGGGCTGCCCAAGCTTGGGCGGGCCCCAAGGCCTTGTAGCCTGATTACCCCAACCAGATTGTACTTGATTTTACCTTGCTCATCATCAATATGACATGCTCAGCACAACCAGCTACAATCAGCAGCAAACACCCCTGTAATTCATTGAGTCCAAAAACCAACCAAAAAAGACCAAAAACTATTATCATAGACTCTGAAGAACCTGACTCAAAATCTATGGGCACTTCACACAGTGC